AAGAGTGAAAAAGAAATGTTGGTAATAAAAAAAAGGACGGGCTGATATTTCGTCTTCGGTGGCGTGAGATCGTTCTGGGCCTGCAGGAAAGATCTTTCCCGTTTGGGTGAGTAGTGGCGCTGGCGTGTGCGGCAAACAGAAAAATGGTGGAGGAAAGAATCTCTTGGTGACTCATACGAGCTGATATTTGGAGAAATGGGAGGGGAGGGTGAGAAGACTAGGGAACGACAGAATTAAGAAGTATTATTTCGTTAAAGGGGTGTTTGGTCTTGTGGCGGTTTCGGTGGGTTAGTGGTAGAGTTATGTGCTGGCTGAGGAAGTTGTAAGATGTCTTGTTGTCCCGATGTTTACGGGAGGATGTGTGAAGACTTGGTCCTGTCAGGTTGAAAGAAGCGAAGAGAAAGTTTTTAATCGTGCTGTTTCGTACGTATCCTTGTCAATTGCAGTCATGTTAAGTTTTTGTTCGAGTCTCTTGTAGTTTTTCATTGGGGGAGGTATGAAAGACGGTTTCTGTCTTGAGTTTTTGGTATTGGTAGTTAGCAGTCATTGCCCAATCTCACAGTTGTATGTCAAAATAAAAGGGAGTGGGACAGTAAGAAGTCAGTGAGTCAAGTCTATTCTTATGGAGAGATATAGTCTATGTCATTACACAGTGCAATGTCATCAGCGTACATGTAGTAGTTCGTCTTACAAGATGTTGGTAAGTCATTGGTTTAGAGTGAAAAGAGAATGGGTCTGGTGGTGGAAGAGGAGTTTATATGATTGATGTAGTAGGTTCCGTTGGTCAGGTAGATTTTACGAAGCGGGAGAAGAAAGTGAGGGTTGTGATTTACAGTGTCAAAGGCAGTAGTGAAGTCAAGGACGACTGCTGGTACCATGTGTTTTGCTGGTTCCTGGAGTCTTGTCGCAATGTCAGCAGTGATACGTAGCGTTTGTAGTCCAGCAAATGTGTCTGCTCGCAAGTCGAATTGTGTTGGTCTGAGTCGTTCATTTAATGTTGTGGATATTTTGCAAAGAATTATTCGTTCCAGTGTTTTTCTCAAGATAGGGAGGACGCTGATTGTTCTATAGTTGTCGGGATTATGGAGGGGCTTGTTGGGTTTGCGGTTCATTTAAACTTTGGCAATTTTTCACGAGGTGGGGAAGTATGAGATTTTGATACAGGCGACGTAAAGTTTGGTAATGAAGTTTGTCACGTTTTTAGTCAGTCTTTTAAGGGCTATTGCCTTAACTCAGTCGGGGCCGGTCGTTTTACTTTCATCAATATTGTCTAGTTCGCCAGTAACGTCTTTGTTCGTAATGGTCCATGTGTGAGTACTTTGCTGAGAACCCCTTGAACCGTTCCGCTGCTGTTGGTGGAACGGTCTGTCCGGTAGGTGATGTAGTTGAGGATATGGAAGGAGTGGGAAGGTTTTAGGTGTGTCACTTGTATTAGTAGTACCCCAACGGAGTAGTCAATCAAGTATTGTTTAAGGTCTGTCAACTTTCCAACAAGTCCGACGTTGGCGGTCAAGGAGATGTTGAGAAGTTTATGTCTGTTGAATTTAAATTAGGTCACATACTTTGGTGAACATAAACAAAAATAATCATGTCCTCGTCTGTGGCGACCTAAACGCCAGGGTTGGTAACATTCTGATTCCGGGAGTTGTCGGGGTATGGAGAACAGCACTTAAATAAAAACGGAGAAGAACTTAGACAGTTTGCAGCCGTCTATAGTGAAAATTGCTAATACCTTTTTCAGGAAAAAGAAATACACAAGTTCACCTGGAGTGCCAGAGGCCTCAGATCACTGATAGATTATGTAATCGCAAATGATAAAATTTAGTAACCAAAGAGAATGTACAAGTACACCGAGGATGTGATATATATTCAGACCACTACCTAGTGATTGCAACAATAGCAATGGTAAGCAAAATTGAAGAAAATTAGACCAAGGAAAGAGAACAAGTCAAGGAAATTTTCAAAGTGTACTTACTTGACAAAGAAAGCATAAAAAGACTATATCAAATCCGATTACAACAATTTCTGTCAAGTGTTCAACTGTTGATTGATGTGGATAAGGGAATGAGGCAGAATTATAAAGGAATGAATAGAGGAGGGCAGCAGTATGAGCTTTAGGAAAGAAAAAAAAGCATAAGAAACGAAAAGGGACTGAGAGTATGGAACGATTGTTATAGCGAAAGCCATAAAAGATAAAGATATATTCATATAAAAAAATTCCTTCCAAAACAAAACCCAAAATGAAGCTAAAGAGAATATAAACAAAAAGGAATAACGCTAAACAAATAATAAGATCTGCACATAATGACTCATGGGATAGATTTATAAGCACCAAACATGATATACATGGAAGACAATTGTTTTGCGTACAAAGTGTTAAGACATTTAAATCAGACGGAGAAAGATGTTGCAGATATACGCATAATCAATGAAAGACAATGGAAGGAACACTATATAAAACTTGGGTGTACTGGAACTGTTGAACCTAAAGAGGAGAGCTTCGCTACAACAATACAGTGGATTCCATCTCCTTGGATGAATTAAAGCAAGCCTTGAACAGTATAAAAACAGGAAGATGTGGTCCTGATGGAGTTAACATGGAACTCATAAAATATGCAGGCTCCCTAAGCGAATTTAGACTGCTTCATCTGTTCAACGAATGCTGGAAATCTTATAAGATAGCCAATAGCTGGAAAAATAACAGAGGTCATATCTAGCTTTAAAAAGGTAAAGAAATGAATGTGGAAACTACAGGGTATCAGCCTCATGAATGTCGCTTATAAAATATTTGCCAAAATTATTCTACGCTCGATTTGAAAATTATAGTCAGAGGCTAAATTACAAGAAGAACAATCGGGATTTCGGAAAGACGCTCTTTGCAACGACAAACATTTTTTAGTCTTAAAAGAATATTAGAAAAACGACAGAAGTAAATAAGGAAACCCATATAGCCTTTATTGACTTCGAGAAAGCTTTTGATAGCGTGGACAGGACACAAGCTATGGAACATAATGAACGAAAGTGGCTATCCTGAACACTCATAAAAACCATCAAAAATATGTTTCACGAGACAAAATTTAATAAATACTGCATAAAGAAGAACTGAAGAAATATTAAAAATAGGGGACTTAACAAGGATGGTAGTTTATCTTCCAACACTATTCAATAATTATATTATAGTATATAATAATATATACTAATAATAGTTATATATATATCTATATATAATTGATGACCTTTATTAAAACATGGAGCGATGCATAGCGGTAGTTTTCTGGAATACAGTTGAAAGCAGACATATAACACCTAAACGTTCTACGTTTATGAGATGGAACGTTACCACATACTGCAAGAACAGTGAAATGACTCTGCAAAAAAGCTGTATACACACTGCTATCAACTGGGAAATAAACGAAGTATAATCTCGGAATTTCTAAACGAAGGACTAAAATTATGGCCATTTGCGGTAAATACCCCATACGCCTCAAAAAAGTTTAGAACAACAACAGTCGATCGACCAGACTTCAAATTTTAATACCATGCGTGTGACATCAGTTTTGACACAGATAACAGACATAGAAAATAAAAACTAATAAATTTCAATCATTTGTGGAATTAATAAACAGAACACTACAGACCAAAGCAAGAAAGACACAAAAAATGAAAGTGCTATAAGACAAGGCTGCTCCAGTTCTCCTGTATGGAAGTGGAATCGCTGGACAATGAAAAAAAGAGGACCAAAGTAGCTCCAAGCAGCAGACAGAGATTTCTAGAAAGTTAAGGGCTGCATCAAACTAAGACCAGATAAGAAATGAGGACATCCGTAAAGATACTAAGATTATACAACATAAATGAAAGGATCGTAGAACAAACAGGAAAGAATGGCGGCGCCACTATCGGAAAGAATGGGAGAAGATCGTATTCCACAATTAGTGATGAAACTACCAACCGAAGGGAAGAAGAGATATCGGCCGACCCAGAAAGAGATGGTCCTGATGTGCACAGCGAAGACGGAACAGGCACTTCTGCCTAATCCCTGAAATGGAGAAGAAGAAGAAGACTTTGGTGAAGATAGTGATAACTTTAGTCATAGTCCGTTGATCCTTTGACGATGTAAAGAGTTTCGCAGGATTTCAGTAGAGAGTTCTTGAATGTCACTGAAAGTGAAGGTCGTAGACAATGGGTTTGTAGTAGTTGTGGGGGCGTAGATTTGGCTGATGTTGGCGGTATTTGTGGAGGGCAGTAGGGGGAGTGATTTCTTGTAGAAACTGTTGTAGCTGTGGTTTGTCTAGTCTTTATGGCTTGTAAGGATTAATGTCTGTCTTCTCATGCTTTCACTATTACAGAACTGTCAGGTGAGTAGGTGGAGTGGCATAGTTGGCAGAGAGCGCATTTATAGGGGTTAAGGCACGGTGAGGTGTGCTGATTTTCACTGCATTTTGCGCAACTGTCCCTCGGTGGCAGTAGTGTCTAATGTGGTAGAGAATCTGACAGTTGTCTCAGCGGTGGATACGGGCGGGTCTGGTGGGGTCGCCAATAGTAATTTTGTGGTGCAGTAGATATTTGACAATTGATTTGATTTTGTCTGCGTCTTGCCTTCCATAACGTAGAGTCCCAGTCCAGACAGGGTAGCGGCGCCTCTTTTCTTCGTTTTTGATAAGTGGTGGATTTTAATGGTGAATTGTGAGAAGTCGATTGAAAAGACAGTCAGGGGGATGTTTGGAGATAGTCGAAAAGACTATTACAAGTTTTGTGACGTTTTCCAGTGGTCCTTTGGTGATGGTGGTAGTAGATGTCACTACTACAGTATCTTATCCTGAGGATGAGGTCGAGCTCAATTTCTTCAAGTGCCTTTAGGATTTTTCCATGGGTGTCTCGGTCTCGGCTTGGATAATCAATTCAGACTTGGTGCTTTTTGCAATGTGCCGCTGTAGGTCTGTCAGTAGAAGCGTGGCACTTGCGAGTCCTTTATTGCCAATACGGAATGCTCCGATTTGAGGTCATCTTGCAGGGGTGGAGTCAGTCTCTGTTGTAGCTTTGGTGGTGTCATTAACGGTTTTCTTTTCATTTTGAGGATTATTTGCAATCAGTGAGGCGCAGCGGTTATCAGTGGTCACAGGGGGACGGTCGCCTGAAACAGGTGCTCTGCAGATGTGCCTTTCGTTTTGTATGAAGAAACCGGTATTTGTCATAGTAGTCAATTTGTCTGTAAATGGGATAGATCCTAGAAATGTTGGGGGGGGGGAGTTTTGAAGGTGAGGAAGAGACAGAAAAGAAATAGGTAGGAGCCCAGAAAATTAGTCCGGGAGAGCCGCAGTGCCAGCGTTACTCACTGGCAGTTCTGACCTCTTGGCCGTCCTAGGTACGGTCTCCCTGCTGGGGCTGAGAAGCCACTTCTACTTCTTAGTTGTCATTCCAGCATCTTGTTGGAGATCTGCCCAGATGGAATTGGCGGTAGGAGTCGTTGGCTTCCCTTTCATGTCGTCATCGCTTGCAGTAATCGAGCTCAATCCTTCCGAGTCCATTGCTCTCGAAGAGCAGTTATAAACAACGTGCAAAGCACAATTTAAAATAGCTCGGCCACTTTCTGCTCTACTGGTCACTTTTCTGCTCCAGTGCACTCATTCCTAGAGAGATGCGTCTGACAACACTGAGAGCGAAGGCTAGTACGGGAAAAGTACAAATAGTGGGCTCCCGCCTGCCACAACTCTGAGGCAATCCCAACATGAATCTATCCAGCAAGTGCAAAAAAGGAGTGCATGACAAATTGTAGCTGTAGGAAGGCTGGCCTGTTTTGTTCAATATTATGCCTTAATTATTGGAACTGCTGCAATAAAATGAAGTCCCCAATTCTTAATAACCGTGTGGATAATGATGTTGAACCAGAGCTGCACGCTGTTGAGCATTGGCCTGACATCAATGGATGCCGAAGAAAATATCGAACATAGATAGATAGATAGATAGATACTGAATCATCTGGTCTTGGACCATCTGAAATCGAACCATCTGCCTTAAAAAGATTGAGAATAAGTGTACTGACTGATGTAAATGTAGGCAGAAATATTAATGTATTAATTATTATTAAGAGTTATTGACTCTCATTTGTTTTATTATCCTCTACGTTTACAACTAATGATGCTAAGTGTGGGTTAAATAAAAAATCTTCTCCAATTTGCAACTAGATTCCTAATGAGCAAATGAAGTGACTACAATAATTTTATACCAGATATAGGCTTCTCTCAATAATGTGATGATGTGCACTTCCCAGGCTTTTGAATGATCTGGAGTATGAACAAGTTCTCTGAGGAACAAATCCAAGAGATCCGATAACTATCATGGCGATCTGTGTTTTTATGCCACACATTTAGGTGATCTCGATTTCCAAACCTGTATATTTAAGAGATTTCTTTGCCTCCTCTCAGTTATGACAGTATGACAATGTCAATCTACGAATACACATGATTTTTATCCACATCCAGAATTACAAGGTCTTGTTGTTTTATAGCTAAAATATGATCAGTTTGGATATGTTGATTGTACAATATTTTACACAGTGTAACAGAAATCACAGGTTATAATGTTTGTATCACCTTCGAGTATGTTTAAATAAACTCAATGTAAATACATTTTGACATTTCCCAATTTTCGATAATAAATTATTATAGAATTATTATTTTAGATAATAAATAGTCAAGCTGTTTTATTCATAAAAATAATATTTGATTTTATCAATTAGTAATATTGTTATTCAAGGTCAAAACTTTTGTCAAAATGTACTTTATAAAAAGGAAAACTCAATACTGGATAGAAAATTATTAGAAAGCCAAATAGTTGCTCTGATCACAGATATGAATGTTTCTGATCAGCCATTCTAACAGGGAGTCAAGTTAATGGTAAGTTGTACAAAAGTTGCACCTCAAACGTAACAAGGACCTGGCAAGTAACAAAGAGTTGTAAGGAACTAAACTGTAACAAATTTTATGCCAAGTATTTTGGTAAATAGTAATTCTTACCTAAATTCAATAGCTCTTTTTAGATACATGCAAGTTATTTTCTAATGTTTTTTTGTTATAACTCCAACAGACTTTCTTCACAAAGATCAACTACAGATTCACAATTAGCACTCCAAAAAACAAAACGATCAAAAAATCAAAACTACACCACAATTTGTTTCAGCAAACTATGTAATGACTGAACTACATCTATTGGGATTTTGTGTTGATGGTTTTGATGTATTGTGTTAATGATATACATTATTAAAAATGTTCATCCTTCTTTAGTGTATTACATTCAGAAGGGATTGTATAAAATAATAATCATCCATACTTTGCTACTATTTAATTATCAGTGAATATTAATCTTTTCCTTCAGTTCAAATAATTTTAACTAATATGTTTTTGGTAATACTTACATTTTGCTTAGATCTTCATATTTACGAGTAATATTCTTCTGTAAGGTCAGTAATATAGGCATTATAGTAGTATCAGAACCACACAACTCAGGGCCATGAGCAGTTAGTATTGACTGAATCCATGTTAGATAAAACTCTATGTGATGAGATGATTCAAGCATGGTTGCCACATACTTGAGCACTCGGACCATGTAAGCGTGTGGCAGAGACCTTACAGTTAATTCCACTAAACAAATGCCACATACATATTTAGTTAAAAATAGGTATCCAATTAAGGAAAACGTAAAGACTTAATAAACATTCAGCTTACCATTCCTAACATCAATTTTTTCAATTATTTCTTGTATTATAGCAGGTTCATTTAATTTAATTGATCCCATAAGAGCTACAAGAGATAAGAAAGGTTAAAACCATATTATCAATAAAAGTGCAAATTGTATAGGCCTATAGAATAAAATATACCTTCACTCCATTTCTCTTCAGAGAGTTTCTCACGGACAGTTTCTGGTGTTACCCCTAGGGTCAATTGAAAAGGTTCAAACACAACATTTGCATCTAAAGAATAAATCAGAATTCCTTCTGTTGTGGCAGCAGCCCAGGCTTGACCTGAAAGAAAATAAATTAACAATATTAACTATACAATTAATATGAGGCAGCTCATATTAATTGAAACATTTGGAGCCATTTTTGAAAATGATTGAGGCTTGATGTAAAGTACCACCCCCTCCAAAATTAAAATATATGTTTGAAACTCATAGGACCACGAATTCCTTTAAATCAATCAAAGAACATAACTTTTGGAGAAAATGGTTTGAGCGATTTAGCCACTAGCATAGACCACAGGCAGACGTTTACCGTCAATATATATAATGGTATCAAGAACCCACAAAATACAGACTCTGACTACACAACATGTTAGAGGAAGTACTAATTTACTTTATATAGGAACAAGATCTATCCACTTTTTTGTTACTGAAGGAAATAAGAATTGTTCTGTTGAAAATTTGCAGTTTCAGGCATGCAATTACAATACTCTCTGTTCTTATGAAATAAGGGCGAGAAAGTAAATGCTGAACATTTGCAACATTAAAAAATTCAGAGATATTCATTGCATATGAAAATCTCTAGAAAAGTTTTAAAGATAAGATTTCAGAAAGAAAAAAACTCTTATCAATATTGAAGTCTTGTAATATCAATTTTTGGTTTGCAATTATCAAAAATAGTTAATAGAGTTTGCCAAAAATGTGACCCACCATATTTTTAAGATTTTTTGGAGGGCAAATTATGTTTTAAATTTAAGACATTTTGGGAAAAACAATTAATGATTCTTTTCTCAATTTTGATACTGAACAGATTTTATTAATACTAAAACTGAAACTTTTGGACTACCACGGAATGTACTAAAATTGTTAATATATTTATTACTGGTGATTTGTATACATTATTTCATACATGAGTACCAGCGATTCAAATTATATCTTAAAAAGTTACACAAAAAACAAAACTTTTCGGTGAAAATGAGCTCAAAATCTGCATTTTCAGTAAGGCTCAAATGCCATTTTCTTGAGAATGGCTCCAAATTTGTTTCTTTACATTATATGGATACCGCTAAATATACTGAATGAAATGACAAGAATACTATGAATTATTATTTTATTTTTTTCAAAAAATTCACAAATATAATTTTTTCAAACGTTTTTCCTGTTGTTAATATTTACATTGCAGGAATTTCTTATGAAGTTTCTTGACTACTCAACAGTTTTGAGAGAAAATGAGCTTAAAATGCACATTTTCAAAATCGCTTAAACATTTTTTTTTAAAACACTTCCAAAATGTTCAATGGAAATATGCGTATGGAATCACAGTTTGCCCTTTATGATATTCTTAAAGTCATATTTCAATTCTACTATGAAGTATCAGAAAAATAGAAGAAATGTGAAAAATGTGTTAAAGACACCAATAGATATCAGCTGAAAGGGGGGGGGGGGGAATAGATAGCCCAGATGAAGAGATAAGGCAACTAACTATTTATTATGTGAAAGCCAATACCATCCTGGACACCACTAGTTAGTTTTAAAACAACTACTTTAAAATATGCAATCTTTAGGCGGATTTGGTACATGAAATGGAATCTTTTGGGCTATTGAGAATTATTTTCCTTTATGAGGGGAATCACAGCACATTCCATTGCTACAAGGATTTAAGAGTATTTTGTAATCCAAAAACATTTAACATCTCTGAATTTCAGATCAAAAATACAGAGGAGTATGCAGTGAACATTCAAGAAATACGAGGGAAACGTGGGGGAAATGAGAAGCAATGTGTGGGAGAAGTCAGGCAACATGTGGTTGAACATGCAGGGCAGCATGGGAGAAACAGGACAATGAGGGAGAAGAAGCTGGGCTACATGTGAGAAATACAGCAAACAAGTGCAACACTCCAAACTAAGGGTGGTATGATTTAAATTATGTGTTTTAAATCAATATTTATTATTTGTATTTGAACATATATTTCGTCATACTAATTAGCATACCTCATAACTCCAGTGTCGCAATGAAAAGAATTAACATAGCCGGGAAGCAGAATTTTATTTTCATTTCTAGTTGAACTTTTAAATACTGAAGAACTCAATTATTTAAGATGTTCGATTTGTTATTTACTTTTATTTCATTAGCCTTCTTTCATAATTATATTTTATCATGAAGTAAACAAATGGGAGGGAAAATGGAGTTGCTAATTAGCATGATGGTCTGTATTTTTAACATTTGAACAATAAAAAATTACTCTGATAAAAATACTTAAATCAATTACAAAATTTATATAAAGAATATAGTATATTATATTATTTATAAACTTTTTTACATGATTGAACAATAAACACACTTATGAAACTTAGAACACTAAACAATTTGTAGTAGCTTATAAATATATACTAATAGCTTAGATGATTGATAAGTTTTTATTCAGCATTTAATTGTCAGAAGAGAAAACCACTTTAGCAGCAATACTGCCCTAACACACTGAGCTAGTTTTGAGAAAGCTTCAACAGTGTCCATAATTCTGCAATTGAATTAAAATGTTTGCTAAAGCCACATGAAAATACATCTTAAAGATGACGAGTATTAATAAAAGTGGAATTTTAGTAACTCATTTAACAAACAAAATCAATATCGTTATAACTAATGAAACCAATACTTAATCTTACTAGTTTTAATATTGTTTTTTTTCTTTATGTTTATGTTGATAAAATTCCATTTTATGTGGGAAGCATTCTTTCCAACGACCATTAAAGGGTTAATGGGAAAGTGTGCAAATAATAATTATACCCCTTATTTTTCAGTTCAACTAGGACAGCTATTAAATGGAATTTAATATTTTAAAAAGTGTCTAACATTGTTATACGTTTTTCAATGAATTCAGCCGTTTTCAACAGTATGTGCTTTTTGATAAGGGTGGTATTGTACAAAAAACTGTAAAATTTATTTGAATGAATGCCTTTTTTTCTAAATCTTGCTAATAGATGCCACAAGCCTATTCGGTAATATGGACACAAGAGAAGTGTTTGAAGACCACAAAACTACCAAGAAACTCAAATTCAAATATTTTGTGCATTAGGGTGGTATTGCATTGGACCTCTCATATATAGTATCTTTATTTTTTTTAATGAAATAACAATAAATTAATAATAAATTTAAAAAGTGATGTTTTAATAAACTTTTTCTGGTTTTGAAGGAAAGATAAAAAAATCACTAAACAATTTTGGTTTAAAGTAGAAACATGTAATACAATTTTAAAAAATCTGATTTAAATAAAAAATGTAATTTTTTTTAAAAAAAAAACATGCTTTTTCCAGTCCTACTTCCAACATATGGCTGATAAAGGAAGATTTCATACCTGTGGGGGAGAACTGAAGATGGTAAACACGAACTTCTGGTTTGAATGCTCTGGATGCCATGTCTCCCTTCCGCACTCCTGGAAGTCTAATGGCGACATTTCCACCTTCTGCATCTTCCCGCTCTTCTACCAATGCAAGATTACCAAATTCTGTCATCTTCCTACGGTTGATGAAGTCCTATTGTTGCATTCATTTTCATTGAAAAAAGTAACAAATTTACAATGAATTCAAAAAACACAGGAATTATGAAAAATCATAAATTTCAATATAATAAATCACAATACAATATATAAAATTACAATTAAATGATGCAGTAGTTTATAAAGATGACTGTCGAGTAACAATGCCAGGAAAGTACCCAGGGAAATGATACTTATTAAAAGGTAAGTATTTATTTAAGAAATAAAAACAACAAAAACACAACAATAGATTTACCTAAAGGACATGTAAATAACCAAACACAAACAAATGAATGCACACATAGAAATAAAGGAGAAACACTATTAGATCATCGTGCACACATTTGTCAAATGTTTTCTCTAGTTGAACCAGCCACAAAGAATTAAAAAATCAATCAGCATCTGGTACGAGGGGCGTTCGATAAAGCATCTGGTTTGCGGTGATTGTTTCGATATGAAAAACAATGATCTGAGTTTTGTAACTTATTTTTTGACATAATCCCCTCAAAGTTCAGCACACTTCATCCAACGTTTCTCCAGGTTCAGGATCCCTTCTCTCAAGTGATTTTCTTCAAGACCCTCGAAATAGTCATTGAATGTCTGGATGGCTTCTTCATTGCTGACAAATTTTTGTCCAGCCAGGAAAGTTTTTAATTTGGGGAACAAATGAAAGCCCAAGGGGGCCAAATCAGGTGAATTGGGCAGATGTGGAAGCAGTTGGAAATGTAGTTCAGTGAATTTTTGCTGGGCGCTTTGGCTTGAATGTGCTGGGGCATTATCGTGATGGAGCAACACTTTTTTTCTTGCCATTTCAGGACGATTATCCACAATAACTGCCTTGAGTTTGTCCAGAAGTGATGCATAGTATTTTCCAGTGATGGTTTTTCCCTTTTCCAGGTAGTCTATAAGAATACCTTTAGCATCCCAAAAGACTGATGCCATAACCTTCCCTGCTGATGGATTGCATTTCGCCTTCTTCAGAGCCGGTTCTCCTCTTGCAATCCATTGTTTTGACTACTGCTTTTTTGTGGTGTGCAATGGTGAACCCAAGTTTCATCCATGGTAACAAAACGACGCAAAAAATCCGTTGGATTTCGCTTGAATAGCTGCAAACAATCGACAGATGTTCTAGTGCGATTTTGTTTCATCTCTGCAGTCAGCAATCGCGGCACCCATCTTACGCAAAGCTTATTCATGTTCAATTCATGATGCAAAATAAAATGCACTCGGTCATTTGACATACCTATGGCTTCTAGTAACTCATGCACTTTCACTTGTCTGTCTGCTAAAACAATATCATGGACTTTGTCGATGTTTTCTGGCATCACAGCTGTTTTTGGAGCTCCAGGACTTGCGGCATCTTCGATGCTTGTCCTACCTCGCTTAAATTTGTTGACCCAAAGTCTCACCTTTTCATACGAAGGGCATGAATCATCCAATGTAGGCACTGTCCTTTTTATGGATTGCTTTCGCGTGTTTACCTTCCATAAAAAAGAATTGGATAACACCACGAATTCCAGTTCTATCCATTTTCCCACTGACTTGCAAACACTTTTGTTCAAGTTGCTGTTCAACAATGAGCTAGAGTGATAATGACTTACAACAATGAAATTTTACGTATATTGTTGTAGCTTTAAATTAAAATTCACAGAAGTTGCTTTTGCCACCTCTTAGTATGCGAACCAAATTACTTATCGAATGACCTTCATAGAAACAATGTGTTTGGGAGAGAACAGGAGAATGAGCAGGGATACGAAGGAGTGCATCTCATCATATACGAGACTGAGTAAATAGTGTTGTTTGAAAAGCAAGCATTGTCTGGGAGAAAACTTGTTTCCTGATTTTTTTTATAGGTATGAATGCTTACATTGTATTGTTATTGTGTCTGTCTCTCTCTCACTGTCTCATATAAAATCATTATTACCATTATTATTGTTATTTACTGTCACGCACACCTACACGCACGCATGTTCACTCACACACACCCACAACCTCCTAGGTATATATATCTGTTAAATGGAACTTGGTTTCTGCTAATGGATTTAGTGCTCTATCTACAAGAAGTTGGTAAGTTAAACTCAGAGAAATGTTTCAAACATGCAAAAATGTGCCAAAGGATGGGTCAGGGACCTATTTTTTATTAACATCTAATTAAGTCCAATTAAAAGAAGTTGGTGCCTATGGCTTCCAATCATAAGTATAAATGTATCGAGATTTTTCACAAAGTTGCTAGGGAGAAACTGAAAATAAATTAGAAACTTCAATCTCCTTGCTATTCTGCCTTCTGCTGTGATGAGTTGTATTGCAACGTTTCAATAGGGACGTTAAACACACCACAGCATATTGCAATTGACAGCAACAACATATAACACAATAACAACATATTTATTGCTAGAGAAAACACATTTCCATTCACAATCATAAGTTTTATAAACAGAGAAACGTACTAGGCACTTAGAAACACACTAAGACCTAGATTGTTACTTAAATGAGCTTCACTAGACACACAACACATTCAATTAAATAGAGAACTTGATTAATTATTCCTTGGGACATAATTCAGGAGTTCTAAATTTCTATGTTCAAATACAAAAATGGTTTTGCTCAAGATCACAAGTATCTCATTGCTGGTCCTCTTCATTTGTCTGAATACTACTGCATGGGTGTTAGATACGTACACATTTACATTTTTTGAGCCCGGAATAGCTACCCCCTCTACTTTACTAACTTTAGTTGGTTTATGCATAAATGATACCAATAAGCATTGTTGATAAAATCTTGTAAGCAGGAATGTTTACACCTGTGTCATAGAAATATTTTGCATTGAAACACAAATCACAGATTTGATATAATCATACTATCTGCATAATAATCAACCTCCTCCACTGATCTCACATCAAGCCAAATGAGGCCAAGCATGTTTGAGTCATACCATGTATTTCTTTCATGTAATAAGACTCAGAGCACTATTTTTTCAGGAGTGTGTTCTTCTGAAGCGTATTTGACATTACGAATAAAAAGGGAGGCAAGATAGATTACCAATTATGAGAAATGGAACATTATTAAAGATTGGTTGGTTGGTTGTTAGTGATTCAGAGTCATTAGTCAGGTCGTTAGTCCCTTATGTGTCATGCATGTTTTTCCTTGGGAGGTGGCGGTGATCTTCCCCTGTTGGATGGCAAGATCCGGCTGCAACTTATCGTCAGCTAGCGGGGTTTCCCTCAACCAGGTATCTCCTACCAGCGGGGCACCGCCCCAACCGGGCAAGATCTAGGCTCTCAACTGGTCTCCTGGCATGTGTGGTAGTATAGTGCATGTTAGTGTAAGTTTGTGTGAGGGGTGAGGATACGACAAGGAGGAAAGAAAGATTGCGCGCAGCCCATGGCACGTATCTTAGAGTACTGATCCAGCATTCGTTTGGTGTTGATCTGAGAAACCACAGAAAACTACCAATCAAAGCAGCTGACCTCTAGAATTCTCCTCCAGACAGTGACTGGATTCGAATTCGATCTAGTGTCAAAAATGTTGCCAGTGTCGAGACTCGAAGTAGGATCTCATGGTCAGAGGCACTGCAGCAATATCAGTTGATGCACTGAGCCACCTTTACCGGTATTATCCAAGAAGCATAACCATTTTTTGTTAGCATGTTTTCCCATTTATAACATTCAAACTTTTCAGTCTCTTGGAAAACATATTAATGAAATTCAACTGTCTTCTAGGCAGAGAAAAAGAACCCTTTTTTGGACTGTAGCATACTGATTCAAATTTCATACTTACATCTACAGCATCAAATGATCGATTCTGAGTAATTTCAAATTTTTTTATTAATATAGATTCTTGAACATGATAAATGCACACATTTTTTGATTGGCCTCCCGCCAAAATACATTTTCCGTCTGCAGAATAGCACAAACATGTAAATGCTCTGTGAAAAATTAAACAAAACATGAATCTGATTTTTTTACCATACTAAATTAAATTTTTAAAAGAACCTACGTATACCTATATACCTACTTTGCTTGGAGTGATTTCTTAGCAGATATGAGATCAGTGTCTGAACGACCACTGCCCAAATCATTTCGACCCTCTATGCTACCTTTTTGAACTGAAGATTTGGTATCAAAAAATAAAATATGTGCATCAAGACAGGCCACAGCTATTTCTTCACCATCAGGACTGAATGTCACAAATAATCCTATAAAAATACATATTTCATTTTGAAACACACAATACCCAATAAGACAAAAAACAACAAACACCATCATTAGATCACACACACAACGCAAACAAATAATCATACATCAAATAAAAACAAAATTTTACCATCACTAGAAAGTTGAATAGTTTCATTGGTACTCTCAGTATCAACTGCATTCCAAACTTTAAGAGTTTTATCCCAACTAACAGAAGCCAAAGTTGTACTCATCAATGCAGGACTAAATGCAATACTCACAACTGGCCCTTCATGACCTGCTAGGATCTGCAGACAAAAAAAAGAATTTTTAATATCCAATGTTGAATTAAAAGATGAAGAAGAAGAAGAAGATGATGAAGAAGAAGAAGATGATGAAGAAGAAGAAGAAGATGATGAAGAAGAAGAAGAAGATGATGAAGAAGAAGAAGAAGAAGAAGAAGAAGAAGAAGAAGAAGAAGAAGAAGAAGAAAGAAAAAAAAAAGAAAAGAAGAAAAAAAAAAAGAAAAAACACAACATACCTCAACTAGTCTTCCAATTTTCATGGACCACAAATAAATCTCAAAAACATCTTGACCTCCTGCAGCAATAAATTCTGAACTACTGTCAATAGCAAGACAAACAAACTGAACTGGCCGAGGTGATGTGAATGTCCGAAAATTTCGATACCTAAAATTTTGGAATAAAAAAAGCACCTTTTTAGGATTCAAACCTTTTTTATGATTAATGGGGGGGGGGGGATAATTAAAAATTACAACACACCTTGCCAAGTCAAAAGCTCTGACAGTACCATCAAAGGATGCTGAGAGAACAAATTTGCCATTGCGACTGAATTCAACTGCAGAAATACTGCCAGTATGTTCCGTAAATGTCACAAAACAAAATCCTGATGAAGTATTCCAGAGTTTCACCTGCATAAAGTTACAAGTTTTAGATCATAAATCACAATTACAACATGGTTTTTCAAATCCAAGATGCTCTCAAATCTCAAACACACACAGAAAAATAAGAAGGCATTTTGTCCATAATGAGATAAGACAACTAATACTGAATAATAGAGTAATTAATTCAACTCAAAACTTATTTTTAATTCTTTGAAAAGAAATAGCAATATAAATGTAAATATTATACTAATATTTACATACTTTGCCATCATCTCCTCCAGTAACAATGTGCTGTCCATCAGGAGAATATCTTAAACAACTTATGTTGTTGAAATGACTTTGTTGCTTCATAACGTACGTTTCACTCTGCCATTCCCAGACAAGAAGCTGACCAAGGCCTGAACAGCCTAAAGCAATCCAATCTCCTGTGTTATTCAAGGAAACAGCAGTAATTTCTTGCTCTGAAATACTGCAATAAACAAAATAAAATCTTCAACCACCTGCCACTAATAATCCATTAAAAATAATTCAACATATTGCATTGTACCCATGTAACCCTTAAAATGTATTACACTAGAGCAATAACAGATGATATGCATTATTCAACTTTGAAACTTTGTCTAAAATACAAACGTAAACAAAAACGAAATCTATCTTATGAGATTGAAAACAGAAAAGTAAAACCCCACTTTTAGGTTCCATATATAAATCAGTATGGATTGTTCCTATAAACAAGTATGAGATTTTATATAAGTTTGTTTTCACTACAAAAAGTAATCAAACTAAAACCCCCTCAAATGTAGAATTCTCAAAAATTTGCTTTTGACCCTGTTACTCTCTCACACGGGTAAAGAAATATGAGGCAAAATTAACATAATAATACTTCAAACAGTATTTATTTTGTTTACAATAATTGTAGGTGTCTAATGAAATGTGATTCCCAAGGTTGTCAAAGGTCAGCAGCACCGGGTCCTGGATAGTTGGTCAAGTAAGCTTTTTAAAGTGTTCGAGCCATTCGATGAATTCTTCATCCAGCCAGACATCCACACAATATGTATAAATAGAACCAGGGGGCCATTTAAATTCGTTCAGACCAATAAATTATTTTGTTTGGTCGGCATGCTGTGACAACAAGAATACTACACTACTAAAACGTTTATAGAATGTTTAAAATTATTCGCAACTAGTATTAAATGATTTGGTGAAGTATGTTCCTTCCAACAAATTTTAATTATTCCAGAAATATCCAAGTTCATGAGAGTAAGACCTTATTTTCTGAGACCACTTCCAAACATGAACCATTCACTTACCTAGTACGAACGTGATAATCGTCAATGCAAGCTTTCTTTAGCTGCGACTATCAACTGGCTATATTTATCAAGAGCAATGGTAGGTAGAACCAAATGTTTCTAAATTTCAATACGGTTTGATTACAATATTTATCGATAATTTATAACCGACTCCCATTACCCCCACTACTCCTATGTTTTCTTCCCACTTATGTAAATTGTTACAGGTTTCTTAAATTCCCCTATGTTTACAACGTAGAACTGTTCTGCTTTTAGTTCTGAAGCACAAATTTCCTGCCTTTTACACTTCCCCTCGCGCAAACATAAAGATGAGTGTAGGGCTACAGTTTGGTAAAAAAAAAACCTGGTCTGTGCATGCGCGAAAAGTGGTGGAGGGGAAGGTTCTGTCTCATAGAGGCTCAACTTCCCCGCTGCCGCCACCACTGTTGCCTTGGCTAGAGCGGGCGGGGAGAAGACAGCCTTTACATCCTGAACTCAAGAGAGGTGAAGCATGAGAAGGAAGTTGCAAGAGCAAATTAGTCATTGTTGCAGGCTGTCCTTGAATTCAACTGAGCTCCCCCTCAGGAGTGGGGGAATGCCACATCTACCGAGGAAAGCGACGCCATAATGATTTTTTTTCTAAGTGGTCAGGCTGTAATAATTTTGTGTGTTTGTTCATTATCGTCACGAAGTCATACACAAACTAGAGTGATTCAAGGGAAATTCATAAATGCTTAATATTGACCTTACCCACATGTTGACGCTTTAAATTCTATGATTCACATATTGCCGAAGCATTACCGGTAATTCATGACTACGTAAATATGGACTTCACTTCCAATTTCACTACTAAGACCATTAATGGAGAGGAATTCTGCAATGACCAATGATGATTATGATGTATGCTGTTCCACATATATACTTAGGTAATTTCCAGCATATAATAACATATAACTATGTATAACTGTGTGGTGTGTGTATGTGTTTATTTATATATTTATATTATATTTATATATATTTATATATATTTTATATACACATATAAAAATTCACTCTTATTAAAATGAAAGAAGGATAACTTCCCACCTTTGCCCAAAATATTTGAGGTGAATTATAAAGCATTATGTGGGGTTAAGATGAGAACTTTTATGTAAGTGTATTAGATACCTTAGAGAATGAATAAGATTCACATCAGGCATCTCATGAATGAGAAATGCTCCATTAGAGAAACCAGTCACAAGAACACGTAGGCTTTTGTGATACGCCGCATCAGTAAGAACAATTTGTCTTTTATTCTTGTCACTCATTTCATCAAACAGATAATACTTTTTTAAACGTTTGAAATATAATTTATCAGGATCTTGGTCATCTTTGTTTTTAGCATCATCATTATCATCGTCTTCACCATCATTTCCAATTTCTGTAAAGAAAGAACATACCATTAAATATAAGATAGAAACGTAGAGACAACAAAGTTTGTGAATTCAAAATGTGAAGCATTGAATTATAAAATAGTGTATTGTAGAGTATTAAATAGTGTATTACAAAATGGTGTAAGCAACAACTCAGAGGTAATAAACCAAAATATTGACAGGTTTGCATTTAAATGTCATTCATCAATTTAAGTTAAATGCTTGAGAAAAATCTGAAAATCCTTTAGAGCTTAATAAAGAATTACACAGTTCTAACTATAAGGATCTCGCCTACCAGAAAATAAAAATCAGTTTCTATGCTTACATAAACTTTCATGTGTAAAGTTATGTTTAAGCCATTAAAATATTAAAACTTAAAAGATGAATTGTTTCTTCAAGAGATGTTCACATACAAGTTAATACATGTACATAAAAATTATTTCAGATACCTACAAATAATTTAATTTGCTATTGTAAGAAGTCTTCGATCATCATCAATACAATAACATGACCTTTAAGTGCACTTTTTTAATGTGAAATAAAATGAGAATAAAATCAGTACTATTTTAGATAATATTTATTTCTATAAAGATTAAAGAAACATGAAATTAAAAAAAAATCAGTTCTTAATAATTTTAAAATAAATATTTCAAATACCATATATAAATGTTCTTTGTATACTTTTTATATTATTCTCGTGATCAATTTGATTTCTTTTATAAATATGTAGTACCTTCACTGTTAGAATTACAAATCCAAAATATTTTGAATTTATTATTTACAATCTTTTAGGGCATCTAAAAGAAGTACCTGCTACAAAAGCTTACAAGTTTATCTTCTACAGTGGCACTCTCACTAGGATTTTTTGCTTTCAATCGGTTCTTTGTGAAAAGATAACATGTGTATCTAAAGAGATTGTAGCTCTTGTTCTAGTATTTGCCTCTCATTCATATAAAAATTGGTCTAAAGTCTTTGAATCTTTAAATTTTTATAAAAAAGTACTTGAAAAATTTGTTTGAGTTGAAAATGTTAACAGACAAATAGACAGCACACAATAATACATGTAGGAATTATTCCAATATTTTTGGCTAGTCATATCCCCACATTCAGCTTCAGTGATTGTAGAGCGCACTCTTCTTTAATTTGCTTTGAAATGAAGGAAAGGCATCCTTTAGTGTGTAAATTTATGATTTTTGTACAGTGAGTAAAAATTTCCAAATACAGTCGACTCCAGTTATAGTGAACTTAAAATCATTAGTCCCTTTTTAATTGCGTTAAAAAAACCGCAAGAAGATTCAGTTATAGTGAACTCTGAACCTAGGCTACAGTAAAAGTAGGAAATTAAATGTCATGGAAATTACTTTCGTGCTGGAAAAAAGGATATCAACTCAGCGCCACAAATTCCAACTTGCAGTTTGGAGAAATTATCGTTCACTATAGGTCATAATCAAAGAAACCTCCCTGGAGGTAGAGATAAAAAATCATTCTGGAGAAGTTCTATTTAATTTTGATATCAATGAATGTAGTGAACCAAAAATGTTAGTCCCTAGAAGATCACTATAAACTGAGTCGATTGTATATTTTATTTAAGAATGTAGATCACTATAAACCGAGTAGATTGAAATCACCCTTCTTTATCATGACTGACATATCTGACCATTGAAATCATTCTTCTTTATCATCGCTATACCTGTAGAAGCATCTTTGAGTCCAATTGTATCTACTTTCTTTGAACAATTTTTATCTCTTCATTTTGACAGATTCTGGATTATTTTCTTTGTTTGCCACTGAATTCATCAAAAGTGAATTTTTTTCATCTTTGCATAACTTTATTTCAGAAATTCTAAATGAGATATATTTTTAAGGATAGGCGACAATTTAGATAACAAAAATGTACATGCACTACTAAGATTTCGTAAGTACTTCTAAAAATGAAATTTTAGCCAAGTAAGCACAACAATTAAGCTTGATTGCTTTTCAACATATAGCATCATATTACTACACCCTCTCAAAAAGAAAATACATAACGCTGCCAAACAATAAATAACTGACACCGGTTTTACAAACGAACATGTTATCTCTTCAATCACAATACTCTCCAGGCTACACAATATAATTCAATCTATTTAACATTTTGCACAGGGTTACACAAAGTTGAAAACGATAACAGTATAAATGACTTCATTCAATAAATGTCCTTCCAAAGTTTCTCCTCTCATGGTGCACCTAGAGGGGGGGTCACAAAGGCTTGTTTCACTAAAACTATTTATATTTTTCTAAAACATGAAATAATGTCATGAACTACAAATAGGAAATCAGAGAAGAAAAAATACTGTGATGACAGTTTTGCATGATAAATTAGTTAGCAGGAATTCTTAAAGTAAAGAGACCCTAAAAGGGTCTCTTTAGGGCCTTTCAGCAGAGGATTAAAGACAGAAAATATCTCTCAAAAATCTATATCCAACATGAGCTTATGACTATAGAAGGCATTAAAAAATTAAAAATTACCTTTGGCACTCTCTGTGGGATCTTCAGCATGTCGTGTGTCAATATCATCTTCATCCTCATCACCAGGGCCAATTTTTTTCTTTTTTCGAGATGAATCATATGGGCGCAAATCATCCAATTCTATACTGCATTCCCATAATACAACAACTCCATTTCTCGCTACTGTTATCATATCTAATGATTGATTTTCAAAATAACATGCTACAACACAATCACTATGACTTCCAAGCACATAGGTCTTAAAATTTGCCAATTTTTCAAGACTATATAATCTAACAGTCATATCTTTTGATCCAACTGCAATAACTCTACATGACAAAGACAATATGTTAAAATAATAAATACTTATTTACAGAGATTCTGAATATACAGTCCCTGGCCAAATTATTAGACGCACTCCAAATTTTTAACAAAATGTTAAGTTTTGAAGTCTCTCACTGCAGTACATTACATCTGGCATTGTTGCGAATCAATCAATAAAAACAAAGCTTCTTTTTCTAATAATTAATACATTATTTGTCATTATGTACCATTGTTGTGACACCTCATTGTTGCTTAGATGCAAAAATAACAAGAGTTGAGTAGAACAAGCGGTGACATGAGTAGTGTGTTGTTGCATAAAGATGGTTTATTTTCCATTTATTAGTTTGTGAAATAGGTATAGCCGTGTTAATTTAATAATTGTGAATTGTTGTATACGAAAAACTGATAGTTTTGAATAAAAATGATGGGAAAGGCAAGTGATTTGTCTCATCGGAAAATCGCAGCAGTGAAAGCTTTTGTCGACTCAGAAAATTATTCAAATCGTGAGTCATCTCAAAGGTTGAACGTATCCGAGACATCTATTCGGCGAATTAAGAAAAAAAATTGTCCTTGTTGAAGAATTATCCCCACGAAGGAAGAACACATGTGGACGGAAGATAATATTTTCACCAAGATCTGAGAGAGGTTTGAGGAAAATTTGCCATGAAAACTGGTTTGCTACTACTAAACAAATTAAATTTATATTGGGAAGTAGTGGAATCTGTGTATCTGAAAGGACAGTAAGGTGTACACTACTACAAATGAATTTTAAAGCTTGTAGACCAGCCCACAAACCCAGATTAACAGCTGGTATGAAAGAAAAATGTCTTGCATGGGCTAAGAACCTTAAGAATAAAGATTTGGACTTCTGAAAATCGGTAAAAATTTAGTCTAGTGCTTTTTTTATAAGTATAAATGGCTACCAAAATTAATTCTAATGTCATTTACTTGTATTTAAGGTTTGTTTTAGCGACGAATGCACTTTCGAAATTCTAGCAAACAAGCATCAATTTGTGAGAAGGCGCCCTGGTGAATAGTATCATTCAGATTGTGTCATCCAGATTGTGAAACATCCAGTCAAGGCAATAATTTGCTCAGTGATCAGTGGCAAAGGCACGGGGTGTCTGTACTTGGTTAAGGGCATCATGAACCAGTACAAGCAAGTATTGGAGAAACGACTGCTGCCTCAACTACAGGAATGGTTCTCAAATGAAGAATCATTTGATTTTATGCAATACGGGGCTCCATGTCATACTGTTCGAACAGTTCGATCATTTTTGTTGGAGAAAAATGTGTGTTACCATGGTCAGGAAATTCACCAAATATGAACCCAAGAGAAAATGTTTGGGAGCTCATAAAGAGGGAAATCGCAAATTAAGAAATAGAAGAATTATCGAATAGAATCGCAAATTAAGAAAATTCGACTCCCTGAAAATAATTCAAGTCTGGTACCATCATCCAGAGTTGCAAGAAACTGTACAGGCATGCATTAATATCATATCAAAAAGAATTAAAGCTCTAATAGCCGCCAAAGGTGGCCTGACAAAGTATTAAAGATATACATGTGCATGGAGATTTTTTACGAAAATTAGTTTATATATTATAGTGACAGACATAATTTTGCATATGATATCTTGTTTCTATCGTAAGTATTCAATGATTACTCATGTATTTCGTTAGAAATAAAAAAATACATTTTTCGTCACAAAAACGTGAATTTTATTGAATATTTAGGGTGCGTCTAATAATATGACCAGGAACTGTATATGAAAATTCACAGAGACTTACCTTGAGTCTGAAGTCCAATCAATGCATGTGGTATCATCACATGCTCCATGATAAACACGTTCCATAACAAATGGATTATATTCTCCAGTAAGATTTCCAGGAGTTTTGTAGATAAAAACTAAAAGAAATTGTATTAGTAAAAAACGATCTTATATTTATTTAACATAAAAAGAAATTAAAAACTGTGTGACATGCAATGGGGAAATTCTGTGCAATTTTCTTGACATCTGAGATCTCTACAATATTTCGTATACAAGTTGAATTATGAATGCAGGTGGATGGTACACGAACAATGAATACATGTAGTGTTTTTACCAAGAATTGATACAATAATATTTGCTTCTATGTAATAAAAACTATTTATGAAGGCATACCAGCTACAGATTTTAGCTTATTATCCTTCAATGTGTCCTCCAAGAAATAGACATACTGCCATGAAAACATGGAGAAGGGTTATTTGAATAACTATATTCTCCACTAAGCTCTAGAAAACTCATACAGATAGGAAGCTACATTTATGTTTACAAGTAATACAAGGAGCCATGTACGCATTTGCTCAAAGGATCAGAGAAACAGGGCAAAAAAATCTGATTGAGAGAGGGATCATTGATCCAGAAGCTGAAGTACAATTTTTGTTGCAGACATTTTTAGACTTTTAGAAAGTACAAATGATAACTAATCCATTAAATAGAATTATTAAAATATTGCTTTCCCTTTTGATTCTCAGTACAATATCTGAATGTATAGTCACAGTTATCATTAATAAGATTAAGTTTTAAATTGGTTGTCACATATAATTCTATTTAAATGTTGTTCAGTCCCTTTTTTAAACAGGGTCAACAGTGCTGTGGCTGGATTGCACCCCACGACGACTTAAAATTCAGTTATGATTGTGTATAATTTGTATATGTTTTGATACATGTTTTTGTATATATTACTTTTAGTTTTTTTCAGAGGTTTAGTTAATAACACATGAACTTTCACTGAATCGAGAACACACACACGCACGCACACAAATAACAACTAAATCTATACTATAAAGAACAGAAAAAAAATTGTTTCTCTTGAAATTCCTTTATACAACACTATGAAAAATGTCCAAGTAATTCGAATTTTTGAAGTCTATATTTAGGTAATTCTATGTCAGCAATTCAAGTTGCTTCAAGTCTCTGTTCTCATATAGAAAGAAAGTTCAAAGATTTCATTGAAGAAGGTGTCTGTTACTTTTGTTCATAGATATTGGGCTGGTGTCTCTTTCTTCTGCTCTGTCTCCTTCATTCGTGGGTGAAGAAGAAGTTCTTCAGCACAACAGTGCGTCAGAACGGAGAGTCAAGAGGGAGCCTCCTTCGCCTCCCCCTCTGAATTAGAAATAGCCGAGAAATTTTCCAAAAGTCAGTCAGTTCTGAGAATTCTTCAGACCGCCTAGCGTTTCTTTCATACTCACCATGACTACATGAAGAGCATACAACAGTTTAATGCTAAATATGAAAGTTGAAGTGCTAAGAAGATGGAGAGAGCAATTAAGAAGAATGGTGATAATACAAAGAAAGAGGTATGGAATATAGCCCAACACTTTGTTAACTTTCATTAAAAACAAAATAATTAAGAACTTGAGTCAACAAGCCAGAGGAAATAGAAAATGTCTCAGAGGTGGCAAATTTCTCAAAATAATCAAGTATCTCTTGAAATGGTTCAAACATTCACACGATCAAAACATTCTAACAAGTGGTCCATTACTGCATGTGAAGGCAGAAGATTTCACAGAAAAAAAGAACATAGAAAATTTTAAAGCAAGTTCTGCTTGGTGTACTGGAATTAAGGAAAGGAAATGCTTTCTTTTAAAAATTTTTGGGGTGAAAGTGGTGCAGTAAATAAGAAAGTAACAAATGCATGGTTTATCTGATAGGATACGAATTATGAACAGAAAAACATTTTCATTGTGGATTGAACAGGTCTGTTTCACAAATACATGCCTCACAAAACTCTCACTTTTAAAAAGACACAGACAAGTGCAGTGATGGAAAGGATAGTAAAGGGTGACAGTGTTGGTGGGTGCAAACATAGAGGGCTCTGAAAAATTGTAGATACTGATGATAGGAAACTCAGTAAAACTGAGATGCTTCAAAGGTGTGTGTAAAGTCTTCCAATATATACGAGGCCAACCAAAGCGCTTGGATGACGAGTGCTTGAAAACTGGCTAGTAGAAATACACGAGCTTCAAAAGGTGCAACATTTTTGTACAATTATAGAAGAAAAGAAACACATTTTTATCAGCATGAGGTTGTTGTTGAAATTCTCAAAAGGCTTCACGGCGAAGAAAATTGATCAGTTGGATGATAATCGAATGCTGAACAATGCTCGGAAGCACATTACTCAACAAACAATTGTGAACTGTTTTTGCAAAGCTGGCAATCCAGAAGAGCCTGCAGAAGTCACAACGGAAGAAGGAGAACTGTCAGTGGCAAAAGAGCAATGGCACATTTCTGCTCATGTGTGTTTTGAGGAACAAGTTGAAGTTGATCGAATGTTCTTTCAATAAAAATCACACTGAAATTTGTGAAATCTGTTCCATAGATTTCTCCAGGCTGACAAAAACCATAAAAATAATTGAAATGGTATTCATAACATCTAAATAAGCATACAAGAATATTAAAAGAGTTATTTTGAATTAACAGACAAACATTCCAGTTTTATTTATACACATTTTGAGCAAACAAAATCATTCAGAGGCAGCTAGTAATGTGGACCTACCTCAAGTAAACAAACATCATACAGTTTTATAAAACAAATTAATATTTCATAATTAAATAATTCTGGATGGAAATTAATGTACTTGGCTTTTTAACAAGCTAAAAATTAAGGCTGAAACATTTTCCAAATAATCAAATTAGCTAAAATTTATTAAAAATATTTTTACAAAATTAAATACTGACCATTATTTTCTTTTGCTATAGCAAAATGTTTCCCATCAGGACTGAAGCACATGTAAGGTATGGGCCGCCGGAACATGTAAGTATGAACAACTCTTCGACTTATCATACTTATTATATACGCAGCACCCTCTAAATATCAAAGAGAAGGGTAATACATTAAATTACTGAATACATGTAACATGTAATACATGTAACTTATTAATACTTAATATTAAAAATTACCTTCATTTACAGCAAGCAGCATATTTCCATCAGGGGATAATTGAATTGTAGTGAAATTGAATCGACTTTCTACTGGTAAAGATGAAGCTTTATTACTGTGAAAAATTAAATTAATACAATTTGACGGGGTACATAAGGGGTCGTCCATAATTATGTAACGCTAAAGAGTGCGTAGGGGGTTTGAAGCAGTTGTGCGCTGAGTTACATAGAGAGAGGGGGTATTAGTTTTAGTGTTAGGTAACATTGAAATTTTGTAATGTTTTTTAACATTTCCTGAGTTAATTATGCTTTTGAGTTTTATACTAAAATATTAACTAGTTAATTTGTTTTAAAAACAGAGATAAATAAAGTTACTAGATGCAAATTATTCCAATAAATGTAAATGTTTTTGATTAATTTTTTTTATTGAACTTGCAAGAAAAGGACGCAAATATCCAAAACTAATATGTAGTATGTTCTAAAATTCAATAATATGTTCTAATTTTCAAAAAAAAGAGTCTCGTTCACGTGCCACCCACAACGGCATGTGTGCGGCTTGTGATCAAAAATTTTCTTGCCTTTGCGTTGACCCTTCACTCAAAACTTACCCTCAATCTTATTGTCAGGTGCAGACAGCATTGTCAACTAACATCATTTATCATAAATTTTAATATTCAACACTTATAAAATGAATACAAATTGTTTTTTCTGCGCTTTATTTTCCCTTCTTGCATTTACAAGGAGGGGGGGGGAGGGGTACGTAATTATTTAGAGGGATTCGAGTGCATGTTACAGGTGCATTATAGAGGGTATTTAAAATACTTCAAATTTGCATTATGTAATTTATGGATAGCCCCTAAGCAAAATAACAGATACAAATCAACAAATGAATAGCCGTCATTTAATATCATACAAATTAAGCAAGTGAACATTTATCATTTAAGATCGGTCCATAATTACCAAAACTTGGAAAATCAGTTTCGGTATTTTCAAATGAGAGTGTTTAAAAAGCCAAAAGTAAAGACTACTTTAGTTACATGACAACTTTCCATTTCTTTTTTCAATTCATTCATTCATTCTCAACATACAAATTTCCATTGCGCATAAAAATTGAAAGAAAATAGAGCCTCCAGCCATGTGAGAAGTGTCTATGATTTTGTTAGTTACCCAGGAAGTTTGGGAAAATTCTATAAGTAATGAAAGATTCAATTTTAACTAAAAAATAAAAATATTTTATATATAATGCAGTGAATTTTTACACTTCATGAAATCTCATTTAGTGCTTTATTCCTTACAACATAGGTTACATAAGACAAGTGAGGTTTCAAGATGAGGCACCTCACCTTAAACATTTTCTATTTACATGTTGCATTACGGAAGAGAAACTTTGTTGATTCTCTTATTATATCAAAAGATGTGTTGTACTGAATATATACTACATTACATTTTAGCAGTATTTATAGTAAATATTTAATTTATTGCAGTGTTATACAAGAGTTTTTATTTGTTGTTCTTCATGCACACATGCCGTTATAGATGGCATGTGGACGTCTACCGGGCCCATTTAATTGAATTTTAGAACATACTACTTATTAGTTTTGGATATTTGCTTCCTTCTCTTGCAGATACAATAAAAAAAATTAATCAAAAACATTTACATTTATTGGAACATGCATGCTCCTTTTTGAATAACAATTTTGTGCGATTTTGTCCAGAACTTCTGCTGCAGGCCACTAGTTGTTAACAAATTCACATATAGAAATCAGAAAACCTAGAAATCCATGGAATATTCAATATCGGGTTGGGGACATCATTTGTTGTCCTACTTAAACACTTCCCCACCATCAAAATTTGGTTCATGGTTTATGTAATTTTTGCCAATAGTTGTGCCACAATGTAGTCAAAATTCAAAGACAGGTACACTGACAATAGATAAGTCAAGTGAAACATCAGCTAGTTTAGTGAATTTAAATGTACATTGTCCCACCTGACAATTTTAAAGAAATTTCACTCAACATTTTCATTACATTAGGACACTAAAACATTGTCAAAACACATCTAGTATGAAACAATTATTTATTTGCACAATCTATATGAAATGTGATATGTACACTTTCATTGGCCTGCCAAGAAATAAGTATATAAATGTGAAATTTGAATTAAATTACTGACAGCAAATGCAACATTCATTCCAGTTTTAACATTTCGCTTAATTTCCCAGAGTGTTTAATGTAAATGATATTGGTATGAAAACCATTTCAAAATTTTAATGGTAGATTTAATACAATTTGAGCTGTGTGAAACATTCACATCATTAATACTTTCTCCAATAATCTCTGATGATCTGCCGTTAAAGGGGAAATTTAAACCATGATGTAAGTTCACAGAATGAAAAGTAATTTGTACGGCCAGAATCATAGCAAGAAAACCTACTTTCATTTTACTGCTTAAAGAGAAAAAAGTTAATGTTGGAATCTCTTTTGAAATATGTGGAAATTTCAGGAGAAGAAATATAATTTCCCACAGTAATCACAATTTGTTTTAAAATAAAATGCCAGTATATTTAATTTTAATTCGTTTTTCACAATTATTGAACATTTCTTCTCATACTTTTTCCATTTTTGAGTTCATGTAAATCATACTGTCATGCAAGCTGCAATAGCCTCTTTTGATTGCCACTTATTGTCAAAAAAACAATTGATCATTACTTCTAGCAATTCAGCAACAATAGTAATACAGTAGTAGCTTTACTTACTTTTTTAAATCGTAAATACTTATTCTGTTTCCTACTGGGCTAATAACACAATTTCCGTCAGGAGAGAACAGTAAATTTCCTTTCCGATAAATCGTACCCAGGAGGTTTGAAAACTATAAAATGACAAACAGTAAGCAGAAATTACACATTTTATTGCCAGGTCATTATATTTTGAGGCAATTCACTTACTTGGTAGGAGAACTTCATTTTGTAAAAATGTATTGCTCGCCAAAAAATATGCCACAATTAACACAAACGATGACAGCACTAGCTTTGAAATAACGGTTTCACAGTGTTATCGAATAAAATTTCTTTAACTCAAGTAATTAAAACATGTTTCACATAACCTCATACCAGTTCCAAGGTTTCAGCGCACATGTTAAAGCGACACGACTCGTTAAACCACGCGCTGACCACGCGTTAAACACGAGTTAACACCTCATGTTAAAAAGCTGGACTACATCGCTGGAATGGATGCCCGCATCCACCTGGAGCGCTACTATCGAGAGAACGGAACCGTCCTTTTGAGACTGAAAGGTAGCGGGCACTTCAAAAATTAACACAGCGCCATGGACGCCAGATACTATTTTATTTTTAACTGCGTCCTTTTTCAAATAACACTTTATTTATTGTTTTTAATGCGCACTAGCGTGTATATTTATGTTACAATCTCTGTTTAACACTATGATTTTTTCACAATTGTCTGTATATTCACAAATTGATTTAATACGATATTTACACGGTTTTTTTGTTATCTTTCGCATTTATGTCCACAGAGTTCACATAAACATTCACAGTTTGGTTCGTTATTTACTTTTTTGTTGCCCAGGAGGTGGTAGTATCCGTGTACTGTGAATGTAGTGAAAATGAGAGTAATATAATACAAAAAAATAAATGTAACTTCAATTTAATTTCTCCCCATAGCACGTCACTCACAGTTTTAACTGTTCTGGTGTACATAAATTTAAAAAATAAAATAAAAAATCTCTTTTTTCAAAGTTGGCCGCCGTCCAGTTTCGATCTATAATGGCACCTGCCAAATATTCTGGCCAGATCTCTTTCCTTTTTTGGTTTAGTTTTAAGAGCTCCTCATAAGCGTCGGTAGTTGGTAGCAGGATCTATAATCTCAAGTCCTCTATTAGAAAAGTTTGCTTTGCCAGGACATATGCTAGGCGTGACCTGATAGTTTTTGCCAAGCCTACAGCTCTTTTCAAATATGTGGCTTCTACTCTCTCTAGGATTGTGAGATTGCCTTCTGATAAGTGAGGCTAAATAAGTTATATGCCGTGTATACCGAAATCGGTAATATATTTGTTTTAAATAGTTTCAAAGATTTATCCAGTGTTAATGCTCGTATATATTTTCTGTTGCTGATTGTCTGCGTAGCATGGGCAAATTTTTATAGTACATCCTTTTAAAAAGTGTGCCGCTCAACCGAAGTAATTCCTAAATATTTGAAGTGAGAGACTATTTGAATTTTTCTCTCGCTTATGTGGATCTTTTCTGTGTTTGATGTCTTTCCTCCTCTTCTGAAGATCATCATCTATTTTTTTCCTGCGTGAATTTTAAAATGATCTCCCGCACCATTTCGCGATGAGGTCCGTCGTTTTCAGTAGGCTCTCCTGATGTGTTGCGCCCACAACCAGGTCATCTGCGTACGCATATGTTGACACTCCTAACCTTGCGTCTTCTGCAAGTTTTAGTATGTACACTGCTGCTAGGTTGAAAAGCAGAGGACTCGTTGGGACTCCCTGTAGTACACCGTTTGCTTGTAGTGTGGAATCTGAGCGTGATAAATTGTCTGTAACTTGCACGCAGTTGTAAGGCAGAATTGTTTCAATGAAACGTTTCCAAGCGCAATTTTCTCATAGAGTTTCTGTTATGATTTTAGCCACTCTGAACCACATTGTCGAATGACTTAGTAGTCTATAAGACAACGTGCTTGTTTTATGTCCTTGAGTTTGTGCTCTGAGCGCTTGTTCTATGTCCTTCAGTGGAAGTGCAAATGCGTGTAAGGTCGACCTGTTATTTTTGAACCCAAATTGAGCGTCTGGTAGGGCTGTGTCAATTTTTTCTCTATTTTTTGAAAGATTATTTTTGACAAAAACTTAAAAAAGCCAACATTCCAGTGCTATACCCCTGTACACATTTGAGTCGTTTGGGTTACCTTTTTCTTTGTACAGTGTCCTGATTACTGAGTTCTTCCATTGTTCAGGGATGTTGCCAAGTTCTACACACTTGTTCAGGAGATTTGTTCACGGGGGTGTAGTATTTACGCAGTATTTTGGATGTGCTCGATAAGAATGATATCCGAACCTGCCGCTTTTTTCTCATCTCCCTGATTTCTCTCTTCACTTCCGTCTGAAAAGGGTGAAAATGTGCTTATTTCTTCATTCTGTCGTAAGTTCACTGGTGTGCTTTTATCTTCTATTTCATTCAAAACTTTGGTAAAATGGACTTACCAGTCACTCATTGCAATGTAATGGATGTTACGCACTTTTCTGGGCCAGCGCTTGTTTATTGCATTACATATGCATGCTAATTCCCTCATTTCAGCACTTGTTTATTGTATCACGGCAACGCCTGACTCCTCGCTCTGATAAATATTCAGTGAAACTTACAATAGATGACAGTATTAATATCCTCCGGCCGGATCGTTAACTACTCGGTTCTGCTATTGCTCTGCCTCGCAGTTAACTTTCCGCCCTCGTCCTTAAAGACTAATTCAGAGAATTTGTTTCATAAATAACTATTTTGTGCATCCTAACAATGTTCATGCTTGGACATGTAGGATTTCTCAACTTGGTGATTCGTTGTATTAACGTCGTTAGAAATGAGTCAAAAAATACATTTTTGTAAGTTTTGAAAAGTATAGAGCAATATGGCGTTTATATCATCTTATAGAGTGCATTTAGCACAATGCCTATCAAAAGTTTAAAGAAAATATTTGGCATATTCCGTCGTAAAAACAAGGCCTCGCGCGCCAAGAAATACAAAACCGTGTATAGTGCGAGTGCCGCAGGATTAATGAAGGCGCATACGAAGTCCGATACTAATTTATTGATGTAAAAATAATTAAAGCATTATTAAGCGTTAAAACATTATTTAATTAAATTATTACGAAGTTCTCGCGCCTCCCTGGCTGCGTGCCCTCAGATTTCGGAGTGAGAAAATGTGGCAAATTTTAGTTGTAAGCAAAAGAAATCACTTATTCTGTCCTTGTTAGTCTTCATTGTATTGCAGCCCCTACACTGAAAAGAGTAAACGCCTGTTTCTTGGCAAATGGTGGTCACTTTGAACATTTACTCGGCGGCAGGTAATTTTAAGGAAATTATATTTTTATTTATTATTTACAATAATTATTAATTTACCTCTGATTTATGTTTTTTGGTGTTTTTAATGATATTAAGGCTTTTTATTTGCTTGATAATCAGATTCAATAATAATACAATAATAATACACACAATAATAATAATAATAATAATAATAATAATAATAATAATAATAATAATAAACATATAATCATAATATTGTTATAATTAATGAAGAGCTTGGCAGTAATGTTTCACGAGATAACTTTTTGATTTCTCTCTGAGCCGATTTCATTAAATAATAATTATTGTTACGTTGGTGTTAATAAATTGATAAACAGTTATAACTTAACTCCACATCTTCAGTATTACCGTTGTGTTTCTTAAGCATACTGGACAGAATCACCTAAAGAGACGTTTTGTTTCTTGCTCATGTCTCTGCTCCCCCCTCTCCCTGCTACTCTGTGAAGCGCGTAAAGCTTCCGGCGTTTAAGCCGCAAACCTGCCCGCCTAAGTTCTTGAATGGGTAAAACACAGAAACAGGAAAGTTGCTGCAGCTTATGACTTGTCGGTCGCCTCCTCTGATGTCTCGACGTGCGAGACACCATCTTGAAAGGTGGCAAAAACAGGCTGTTGCCAAACTGCCAAAAAAAAAAAAACGAGTGCTCTACAAGGTGGGTTGCGAGTTAAGCTAAAGACCCTGCACGCGAGTTCTGAATAATACACGTTTATGACAATGAAATCAAATGGTAAAAATTTGTAACACAAAACAATATGTTCTTCAACAAACAGAGTTGAATTCTGTTACATTGAACTCTAAAGTAAAAGTGACTCTTGCCTTCATAAGTGGTGTTAGATTGAACTACCACAACCGCCCTAATGGACATTCATAAAAAATTATATTTTTTCATTCTAACTCTGAACTCTTTCTTTCATAATTTTACCCTTTTCCTCGGCAACCAGCTGGTGCAGATGTCAATCATACCTTTCCTTAGCGTTAACCAAGATAACTTTGCAAGAATAACTATTTTATGAGCTCATGATCATTCACAATTAACATTAAGATTGAAGATTTTGCTTAACAATGTCGACAATTGAATCATACACAAAACTAGCTTGAGATCAACTATTGTGAGCAACACTCATTAATATTTTCATTACAATTGCAGAAATTTGCGTTTGTTTCTCTTTAAATTCAATTCTTCAAAAATTCTATTAAATCGTTCTTTAGGTTATGTTTCAATTTGATAGTAGTACATCGATCATACAATTTTATCATTCCTGCCTTCTCATACACGGGTACTCGCGCTTCTGCAACATGAACTCTGCAGTCTCTGCTCGCTGGGTGCAAATACCGCAGAACCCAGACGTTGGAGACCTTGTAGACGGTCAGGCCCGCGCTGCCTCGGCGCTGCTGGCGCTTCGGTACAGCTTCGAAACGCTCGCGATCTCGGCTTCCAACCTTCCACCACACTAAAACGCGATGCACATCGGCTGGATTCAACGCTGTGCTTGCTACTTCTCAGTTGCCAACGTTCATTTCTGGTTTCCTCCAACTCCGCTTCCTTTAATGTGCGTCGATGAGAAACTGCGTGTTCTCGAATTTTCGCCGCAGTCGTTGTAGGGTATTTTGAATGTTGGGCCATAGTTCAGTGAGTTTTACGTCACGAATTGATTTAAAGTGGCCGCCGATGGTGGCGTTTTGCTCTACTAGCAGTGGCTCACGTTGTACATTTTTCCATACCGCTACCCCCTCGCTCGACACCTCCGTCCACTCATGACACAGTTCTCTTCTATTCGACCCCAAAAAACAAGCTACAAAGCTTAGGCATGCCTTTCCAGTTCATAAAACGAGGAATTCTTTACCCCACGTCGGAGACCAGAATTTGCAGGAGGATTCCTTCCTTCACCAAACGGCGTAATTCGGAGGCAGTGGTGTTAAAGTATGCCTGCATGAGTGTAAGCTGTCATCAGACAGAGGGTTGGCCAACACCCTATCAAATTCCAGCATTACCGATGGATGACTGCAAAAAGTAGTAAGTTATTTTCAGCCATTTGTCCGGATAGTTTTTATCATCTTTTGTATGGCAATTTTTAAAGTATGTGTACTAATAACAGTGTGAACTAATCGGCGCTAATACAAATTTTAACGACGTGCGAG